ATGACAAAAATATATAAAATATTAATTAAAATTATTAAAATATATTAAATATCTATAATTACTTATTTATAATAAATTGATTTTTATAGATACGGTACAATCTAAAAACTTATTTTGTAAAGCACTCACAAACAAACCTTAAAATGGAACGGACGGAAAGGTGCAACAGAAAAACGAGAAAACAGCATAGAGACCAAAGGGACCTCGAGTTAGCCAATTGAATAAGGATTTTTTTAACATATGTCATTTAAAAATGTAATAAATATATGTTATTTTATTAGAAATATAAAGAAGAATGAAAAAACATGAACTCAGCTGCTGGGTTCCATCGAACGCAGCCTTGGCTGGTCGACGAACCCAGCAAGGTTGGGTATCCACCGAACCCAACAGCTGGGTTCAACGGAACCCAACCTATCTTAAGGCAAGAAAGAAAGAAAGAAAGAGAAAGAAAGAAAGGGAAGAAGAGGGATTGGGAGGGGAGGGTAATAAGGTAATTTTATTTGTTTTTAATTAAAATATACATATTAATCTATGTGGCATTTTTATTTATTTATATAACATAATTATAATATATATTATTGCCACATCATCAAAAAAATTAAAAAACAATGTCACATGAAATTATTTAACTGCCACATTATAGACCAAAATTGTGCAATTTTTAGAGTCAAGGGATCAAAAAAATGCAAAAAATTGTTAAGGGACTAAAAATGTGCATTTCGTAAAGTTGAGAGATTAAATTTAGCATTTAACCTTATTAAAATGTGATTTTTTAGAGGCACATGGGGTTTATAATATTGTGCTACCTATGCACCAACATATAAGAAATCTTATTAGAAAAACAAACTAAACTTTTTAAATTAAAATAATAATTTATTAATAATTAATAAACCCAACATAAAATTTAACTAATTAAATTAATAGTGAAAAAATAATATGTAACAAAATTATATAACTCGAGGTGGAATTTGACCCTACTCAATCGATTTGAATAAAAATATATGCTCGGGGCTCAAATTTGTATTTTAGGATCTAACATTATTTTGTTTATATAAAAAAAATTAGTTTTTTTATCTACAATAAGTATTTTTGTTACTACATTTTCTGCTAGGAGTTTTTTGGGAGGGAGAAAACGACAGTGTCGAAACCTGAATTCAAAAAGGTTAAGACCGATTGATCGATTTCGAGGAAAAAGGTATGGTACTAAATGTTTTTAATTTTTTATTGTTGTTACCATATAAATGTTTTGTGTACTTCTGATTATATTAATCCTATTACTCTTTCATTAAGTTTACACAAGTATTTTTCAATATAAATGTAAGTTTCTACAGTTTGAATACTTAAATCACTTCAATATTTTTAATAAACATACTCTCCACATTTATTAATTAAAAATATATTAATAATTTTAGCACCCAAACTATAT